GTTCAGTTGACAGCAGGAGGAGGAAGAAAGGCGCAGCAGCAGAGCAACGAGAACCCAACACTCTGTAGATTAGGACCTGGAGTTAGCTGTGGCACATGCTTCCTGCTTGTGAGTGTACAGAAAGTAGGTCAGCCCGATCCAGGAAATCCATGCAGGCAATTACTTCCCTCGGTTGTAGGGATGTGGGGTTGGGTTTTACCTGGGAATCAGTTGACCAAATTAGAGATCCACTGCTTTAGTGAAGCCCCTGTAAGTTGTTCTCAGCTTCATCTTTGGATCTTTGAGTAACCAGCTAGGATTGAAAAGGCCGGACACAGACTTGGGATGGGAGACAGCAGTAAGAAATGTTGAGACTAGCAGGCTGGGAAGCACGGACAGCCCAGATTTGCACAGTCACACCACAACAGTATGTTATGAGGGTTGAGTCCAACTTTAAGAAAAAGCAGTCTGGACCAGTTACAAATCGCTCAGCACCTCAGCCACCACCTCTTTCCTCAAAATGTAAATGGGGGTTGTACGGTGACAAAATTATCTAGAACAGAGCTCATCAAACTACAGCCATGGGCCAAACCAGATCCTCTGTTTCTGTAAACAAAGTTTTCTTGACACACAGCCATGCCCACTTGTGTACATATGGCTGTGGCTGCTCTCGGGCCACACCAGCAGGGCTGAGTCACCACAACAGAGACTGGATGTGGCAGGTAAAGCCTGAAATATTTGCTATCTGGCCTTTCATAGGAAAAGTTTGCCAAACCCTAGTCTAGAATGAGATTTTTATAAAGCTGTTTAGAAGTTTAACAAAACAGAAAAAAAAGCTCTTAATGGAATATTATTCTATATTACTCAGCCATAAAAAAGAAATGAAATACTGATATACGCTACCATATGGATGAACCTTGAAAACATCATGCTAAGTGAAAGAAGCCAGGCAGAAAAGCCCATTCATTGTATGATTCCACTTATGTGGAATATCCAGAATAGGAGAATCCGTAGAGACAAAGGTAGAATGATGGCTGCCGAGGGCAGGGCAGGGGTGGGAGGGTGAGGAGGTAAGAGTGGTGAGTGTCGGGGCTACGGGGTTTCCTTTTTGGGTGATGAAAAGTTTCTAAAACTAGATAGTGGTGAAGGTGATGCACCATTGTGCCATAGAATTGCACACTTGTAAATAGTTAAAATGGTAAATTTTATGTTATGTGTATTTAAAAAAAAATCCAGAGCAAAAACAAAAACCAAAAAAAACCCTTTAAAGAGAGGATCAAACCAATTTCTTGCTATTTGTACTCCTACCACAAAAACTAGAACTTATAAAGATATTGTTTAAGTGGTAGTCATTACTTTTATTTAAACAATATGAACTGTACCCCATTTGCACTACAGAGATGAGGTTTATATAAAAAAAAACCTAACTATATAATCCCCAATATTTTAAGGTTCATTCTCTGTGTCATTAAATGGACAAAATGGTGCAGATAAAAAATGTACATAGAAAACAAAGCAAAAACACTTTGCTCTAATGTACAT